CCGTGATAGACACCTCCAATTGCATGGTCTATCTCTCCCAGGAGCGAGCGGTCAGCATCAGGGATCTGGCTCGCCGGGTGCACAAGGAACATTCTGTCCCGTTACTCCTACTGTCTCAACTTTTAGGAAAGATGGTCTCCTGCATAGCCATTGTTCCCTGGGCCAGACTGCACTTGCGGGACCTGCAGTGGTTCCTACTCCCATTCCAGCGCACAAACACCAGCGCATCCAGTATTCAGGTCAGGGTTCCGGTTCATGTCCGCAAAGCGCTCCGCTGGTGGTTCTCGCGGGCCATAAATCAGGGGTCTCCCTTCAAGGAACCGGACCGCATCACCATCACTACGGACGCCAGTCTGTTCGGATGGGGGGCCCATCTACGGTCTCAGTTTGCGCAAGGCCGCTGGTCTCGCGCAGACTTGAGACACAACATAAATTGGTTAGAGCTCAGGGCCATACACCTGGCTCTACGCCAATTCAGGCACACGATCAAAGGTCGTCACGTCCTGGTCCTCACGGACAACGTGGCGTCCAAAGCACATGTCAACCGTCAGGGGGGCACCAGGTCCAGAGCATTGATGTCCGAGGCACGACTCCTGATTTCCTGGGCGGAGCTCAACCTAGCCTCCATCAAGGCCGAGCACATCTCAGGGGTCAACAACCAGCAAGCAGACCTGCTGAGTCGCGCCACAGTGGACCCATCGGAGTGGGGACTGCACCCGGACCTATTCTCCGAAATATCTCACCGCTTCGGGCAGCCGATCATCGACCTGTTTGCATCAGCAAACAACACTCAACTCCCCAGGTACTTCTCCCGCTATCTCCTTCCAGGAGCGGAGGGTACGGACGCCCTGAGGTGTCCATGGCCGCAGGGCCTTCTTTACGCCTTCCCTCCGTTACCCCTCTTACCGGCGACCATACGCAAGATCCTTCGGGAACGGGCGGAGGTGATCCTGGTGGCACCATATTGGCCTCAGAGGCCGTGGTTTGCCGACTTGATGACACTTTCCATATGCCCTCCGTGGCAGATTCCCCCTCACCGGGTGTCGTTGCACCAGGGGTCCCTTCAACATCCGGAGCCCCAATGGTTGCAACTGACCGTTTGGCACTTGAGCGCAGTATAATGGCCCAAGAACTATTTTCTGCTCGTGCCATTTCCATGATTCAAGCTTCACGACGTCCGGCGACCAATCGCATCTATGATTCTACTTGGAAGAATTTTTGCCTTTGGTGCCGGAGTCGTCAACTAGATATACGCAACCTTTCTATCCCTCAGATAGTGGACTATCTTTTGGATGGTCTGGACAAAGGCCTCGCCCCTGCGACCATACGCAGACAGGTGGCTGCCTTGTCCACATTACTTACCTGTGCAGACTCAGTCCCTCTGGCTCAACATCCCAGGATTCGAGCTTTCATCAAAGGCGCCTGTAACACCAGGCCTCCCGTGGTGCACAGATATCCTTCTTGGGAGTTACCGCTCGTGCTTCGGGCTCTTACCAAGCCTCCTTTCGAACCACTGAAGACTGTTCCGTTGAGGAATCTCTCTCTTAAGGTTGCGTTCTTGATAGCTATCACGTCGGCCAGACGCATATCTGAGCTGGCCGCTCTATCAATCAGAAGTGACCTTTGTATCTTTCACAGCGATAGAGTGGTCCTTCGTCTAGACCCCACATTTGTTCCCAAAATTAATTCGCTTTTCCACAGGGCACAGGAAGTCATCTTGCCCAATTTTTGCCCCGATCCTTCCCACAACCTGGAGCGGCAGTGGCACACGCTAGACGTCCGTAGGGCGTTGCGGCGTTATATTAAACGTACAGAGACATTTCGTAAGTCAGAGGCCCTATTTATCTCCTACCGTCCGGCCTCTTTGGGCCAGAAGGTTTCCTCGGGTACTATTGGCAGGTGGATCAGGGCCTGCATTGCGGAGGCGTACCAGTCCTCTTCCCTGCCGGCTCCTAGACGTATTACTGCGCATTCCACTCGTAGCGCTGCGACATCGGCAGCATGGTCCACCCAGGCGTCCATTGACGAGATTTGTAGGGCTGCGACTTGGTCGTCGCCATCCCCGTTTGTACGTCATTACAAAATTGACAGTTTCGCTGCGGCTGATGCTTCCTTTGGAAGAAGGGTTCTTCAGCAGGTGGTTGCTGGAGACTCGAATTAAGGCTCATATGTTTCCCACCCATTGGGACTGTAGAGCTTGGGTATGTCCCACATGTGAATTCTC